TATTGTAGAAATTGAACTGGTAGAAATCCATACAAAGAAAGTTGGCTAACCGAATTTAATCTTCCAAACAGAATTACAGGCATGGACATTAGTGAGTGCGTTCGTATTTGTAATTTTCTAGATAGTGTTCTGGGGGAGAACATAAAAACTAATCTAGAAACCAATCAATCTTCTACAGTGAGAGTATAAAATTTGCATAGCCCACTGACTCAGTTTACAGGAGGTATTCACCTAAAATACTGATAATAACTGCATACTTCTAAACTGAATAGTAGCAACATAACCAACAATTAATAATGCAGTCCAGTGATTGGGTATGTTAACTTGCAACATCCTTATGTAAAAGTAGTCAGCCAAAATGATTAACTGAAATTCCAATTAATCACTGAAGAAACGAAGGGATTAAATACAAAAAAACCATGTCTTAAATGAAAGGATCTGGTTGGAGTCATAAAGTGTGCTAGATTGTATTATCTTCAAATCTACATAGAACAGATTAGTAAATTGAAATAGTAAGGAAGTAGTCTAATTCAATTTCTTCTTTCATCGCATACACATTCAATCAAGTAAAAATAAAAAAATACAAGACAAATTCTTGACCAAAGAATCCATGGAAAGAAGGAAAAATGACACAAGAATAGACTGTAATAAAAAATAAAAGAACTAAAATAAAAAGGGAGTCCAGATATCCAACCAGGGGAAATCTGTGTTTCCCCTCGCGTCGCTCCCTAGGCGACAACCCTAGCGCCCCCAGCTCCGGTCTCTCCCATTCGCTGCCACTGCTGCCGGCCTCCACCATGGTGGCAGCATGCCCTACTACCAAAGGTGCTGGGGAGTTCTTTCTCTCGTTGGTAGGCTCTGGTGGTCGGCCCGCGGTTTGGTGTGGCATTGCTCGGACTAGCGCGTGCAGAGCAGCGGCCCCGGGACGAGCTCGCCAGACGGCCACATGCGAGGGAGGCGGAAGCTCAGGTGATGGTCAGGGTGGTGCACTTCGGCGCCCATGCTCGGCTGCGGGTGGTTGACTATCCTAGCCACAAGGGTGGTGTGGCAGTCTAGTCGACCCTCGCCGAACCTAGGCTCCCATGCCCGGATCTGCCCTAGGAGGTTGTGTGGGCTGTGTGGCGGCAGCCAGGGAGGGGTCGCTGATGATGCTCTGGATCTGCCCTTTGTCTCCTGGATCGGCCAGGCGCAGTCTGACGCCATAGCAGGCTGCAGGAGTGGTCTTGCTTTAGACCTGGAGAGTTGCGGTGTACATGGAAGCTCGAGTGGCGGCTCCGGATGCGATGGTTGTTTCGCAGTGTCGAGGGTCCCCCGGGCGGCAGGGCACCAACGCTGGTTGTTGGTGGTGCCAACATGTCGGCGCCCATGGTGTCGTTCCTTGGTGTGCCGTGGACGGAAGATGGCAGCGTAGCAGAACTCACACATGGGTGGTTCGGGGATGGCCACGGCGGTTCAAGTTATTGCATTGGTTTGTCACTAAGTTGGTTGTTGTCGGCGACAAGTTGTTTGGGTTCCATAGCTATTGTTGTGTTGAAGATGGCCGGCGACAAGTGTATGGTGAACTCCAGGGGAAAGCCTGGCACTTACTTCTAACAATGCCAGCGACAACGGCGTCCTCAACGTTGTTCTCCTCCTTGGAGATGTCGTCGTGGAGCCCCTTCACCTCCCTCGTCATTTGGATCTCGAGCTCTTTGAGTGAAAACTCAAGCTCTAACTAGGCCCCGAGCGGGTGTCGGCGGCGTTCGCATCACTTCCCCCTTGGGGCATCACCTTTGGAGGTCCAGTCTTCTACCAGATGACAATGGTTGAGGTTGTCCCACGGCTTTGGCGTCAACTAGGCAAGTGCACAGCCTCGGGGCCGGTGTGGAGGCTGAAGCGGTGGCTCCGGAGATCGCCTTTGTGATGTATGGTATTGAGTCTGGTCATTGGGCTGGCAGAGTCGTCGACTCATTTGGTATGTGATCACTTGGATGGCAAAGTCATCGACTCGTTTGGTGTGTGGACAATTGTGATGGTTTGTAAGCCGGAGTGGTGGCTCCAGGTTGTGTTGTTGGGTGTCGATTATGGTTGCTTGGATGGTAGAAAAGTCGGCTCGCTTGGGTACAGCCTCGGGGCTGGTTTGCATGGCTCAATTGTACCGGTTTACAGCAAATTTTCCTTATAAGCTGGCCAATTTTCCTTATAAGCAGCCAATTTCCTCTTCTATATGAAAAGGCAGAGCTCCCGCCGGTTGCTCCAAAAAAGGTCAAAAATGTAGATTGAAAAAACTAGCGAATCTTCCATGCTTAAACATCCCGCAATATCCTTCAAAAGAGAAAAAAAAATGAAACTTCAAAACAGGGAGGAAGGCACTGAAAATGGGTCCAGCACAAAAAGGGAAAAGAATAAAAGAGCAATGGCTGACCGGTAAAACCACAGTGCAAGATCCCGCCTCATTAAACGGCACACTGTGCATCTGCCAAATAACCAATGTTGTTAAAAAAAGGCAGCACAAAATAGCAGGCAATGAAAAAAGGCAGCTCAAAATATCAGACAAAATATCAGGCAATAACATGTTTTACTGGTGTTCTATTACCACATAGTGAGGACTGATAAAATCTAAATTAGAATGTCCGTGGTAGTGCCTCCCTCCCCTACTCACCTAGTTTTCTTACCACCTAGTGCTTACCTGCCCCCTGTTCTCCGATTCAACTAGTATGATCAAGTGCTGATAATAGAACAAAATCAAAATGAAAAAAGAATTTTAGTAGCTTTGAGATTGCAGTTAGACGAAATTTGGAACAGCTGGTCATGTGAATCAAAACATAGTGGGATTCTTTTACTTACATTCAACTATTGACTTTTTTTCTCCGGTCTTCATATAGGAGATGAATTTAAAACTCTGTATCATGTCAAATCATCAACATATGACTGCAATTGATGAAGTTCCATATGATTCATGGTGATGCATACTACACCTGGCTTAAACATGCTAAGGAAACAATTCGAAAAGTATATACCTGGTTGCTGAAGAAAACCTATTGATCAACTGAATCATGTGACCACCTGCATCAAGCACAAAGGAAATAAAGATTTGTACTGAACAAAATTCTGATTTCTATTTCCATTCCGCAAAATGTACACAATTTTGATCTGTGCCGCTAGCCGACAAAATAACAAGAACTTCAGATTTCTAGCTACGTGAGTAAAACATCTCTCCGAAAAAGAAAATGAAAAACATTCTCTCGCACATCATGGCTTCCTTTAACAATTTTACTGCGGATAGTCTTAGACACACTAACAATGCCGTGGGTCCCTGCGCACTACCATAGCAATCACAGGACAACATCGGACACCATATTAAGGTCTTTAGCTAAAATGTAGTCATAACTAAAGTAGCAAGTCTGTTTCATTCTAATCTTTTAATAGCAAAACTATAAATGGCTGGCATTTATGAACGAAAGATTGCTGCACAAAGCAGGAAAATATTTAGATGGATATATGGGCTTGATTCACCATCGTCCATCATTGTGGATGTGGTTTTTGTTGCCTTGATCTCCATGAAAGGGGCTGAAACCGATGGTTACACGCCATGAGCCCACTTCCGTCATGACAAGGAAAGGACAGAGCGCAGAGTTGGGAAGAGAGGGGCAGCATTATTATTCACCATGAGGTGTAGGCTTTGACCACTCGCTTGGTTCTTACTGTGGAAAGGAGCACCCGGCTGCCGTGCAGGCCCAACAGTGGCTATGGCCCAGCGGCAGGCACTAGGCAGCTTAATCAGAGAAGAGTAGGGTGGGAAAGAAAAGTACGGAACAGCTCTCCATCGACCCGAAGCATGCTGATGCATGACAAAAAAGGAGAGGGTTGTGCGGGAAAGCAAAGGTAAATAAGGTAACCTAAAAACCGACGTGACTTGGACACTGGGGATATGACCTATTGGATAAGAGCCCAACAACAGTGTATGTCTTTCGGCACTGCAGGGTGCAGGAAGCGACGCTCCTACCAACCACAACAATGTGCCTCACGGCTGATCCATGGGACAATGGACGAAAAGCCTATGTGAAAAAGAGGAAGGGCCGTGTTGGAAACAAAGTCAAGCCCCAGAACACACGACGCAATGAAACCCAGCTGCTGCCGACGGGACCAACGAGAACAGAGACCCAGCTAGTAGAGAAGTAGCGACTTAGTGACCAAAGTCCATGAGCTTCGATGAAAACGAGCGGCCAGTAGCGATAAACAAGCAAATACCAGATTAAATAACCCACGATCGCCCATCACTAGGTAGCTCTCCCAGCCCAAGTGTAGGGCCATTTGAAGAAAGTAATACATTCGTATTATACTGCATGTAGTGAGATTGCATAAACATGTTGAGAGTATACATCCCATCCTTAACTGTACCACACTAGTTAACGACCTATCTAGGAAGAAGACTACTTTTCGTCCCTCGAATAATTTATGCCCCCACCCCCAACCCCTCAGAAAAAAAAACTCAAACTACCCACAACTTGCACCATCAGCCCTAGGGAAAAAGTGGAGACAGTGCCCAGTATGGCTTCAGAATTCAACAAGAAATGAGGTCATATCTCCTACAAGCGGCAGCCAGTACCAACCACCACATAGACATATTGTTTCCACACAAAAAGAAAGAATACATGAACCAGGTATAGCGCAGCATCAGGATTGTTGTGACATTAGTCATAAGGTATTATATTTATATAGGCAGAACAGTTGACTGAGTTGAACAAGCAAAATAAAGAGACAAAGTGATAAGGCTCTCTCTCTAGCACAGCTAACAACAGGGTGCCCCCCTTATTATGAGTCAACCATCTCATTGCATTAACCAAGTCAAAAGAAAAATGCAGAGTTGCAGAAGATGCAGAATTGGAAAGTTCAACAAATGTATGACAATATAGGGTTATACCCCGCAGCTGTGGTGGCTCAACGGCTGGAACAGTACGCTGTGGTGGCTCAACGGCTGGAACAGTACGCTGTGGTGGCTCAGTGACTTGAACAGTACTTCACGCTCGAACAGTACCTGTGCAACAACCAATCTCCATTAGTGACGAGTGCATGAGCCATAGCTCAAAAAGATCAGAAAAAAATAACTTCACCACTATGAAATTAATGACTGAACCTCTGAAGTCAGGTCGCTCTAGCATTATTAGGAAAATAGCTGAACAAACTCATGTTTGAACATCTAATTTGGGTTTAACCCATCCTCAAATTGCTGAAGTATGAAATGATCCAAACAGTACCACATTCTTTTCAAGTAATGTCACATTTTCAGGTTGTTCTGAAATGACCAATTCCCAAGTATGATCAAACATAATAATGAGTTATCTATTTGAACCTTCTGAAGCTGCTAACAATACTCTCAAACATTTGAAGTACTGCAAGTAGCAGCTGTATAATCCTCACAGCCTTGTCTTTTTCGTAAAAAGAATCACCTTGACATCCACACAAAATTCCAGGAAGCGTTATAATATTGTTTTTGGGGGGTGGGGGGAGGGGGGGAGGGTGATTCTTGCAATTGAATGATCAGATTCTTGTGAGCAACTTGCTAGCCTGCCTTTCTTTCAGGGCAAAAGGTAGAACAAGCGTGAATAATATCACATGGGAAGTTTGGTCCTCTTCACAAGGCCAAACGACAAATGAAACAAACTACACAAAAAATGTCAAGATGACAGAATAGAATGCACACCTCAATTTAGGGGCACATCATAGATGACACCTACACTGTTGATCATTGGCATTTTCATGCAAGCTAACAGGCATACAGACAAATTTGTCCTTAAAAAATGATAATGCGTGATTGCCAAATCAGACACGGGTAATCCAGTCCAAAACACAAGTATGAAACTACAAAGAGGTGAGTAAAACAAGGACACAAGTTTCACTGATTTAACAAATAACAATTGATTATCAGCCACACAAATATAAATTTTTAAGCTTTCAGCGAAATACTCAGTCAACATGTTAAAATAGGGAGGACGAGGACGGGCTAAACATGAATAACATGCTAAGCATTGTCAGCAGCACGACCCTGAAGCAAGCTAAGGTCTGCTTGAGTAACTACTAGTAATACAATATCGAGAGCTGGGCAAAAGAATGCTATATATAATGGTATCTTTATTTTATATTGCCAATAGAAAATCCTTAGCTACAATGAAAAATGTGTAAACAGAAGCAATGGCGCCCCCTTAAGAGCATCGCATACTTAAAAGTAAGGTGCAATATTTTTTCCATGAAGGTGCCTTTGACTACACTTATGTTAAGCAAATCAACCAATTTCCACAATGATTTTATAATTTTTTTGTACGGTGCAAGAACCAATTGTAAGGACAGAGAACCAAATCTAGGTTCCTGGCGTGGGCACACAGCACACCATGAGGTTCCTTGCAATGAGTTTGTATAGAATGTGTGCAAACCTTCGCACAACTGATATGATCAAACAAATGGTCAAAATAGTCCACTATTTTTCAGGACAAATACAGTTCAGTTATATTAAAAAAATTGATTTTGTCAATGAGGAAGAAAAAGATAACTAAGTTGTTAGCAAACATTTCAAAGCACAATAAGGACACTCCTACAACCATATACAAATAGGTTGATTCAGCTACTTCTGTGATATAAAGATAAACAATTACCTGCAGTGAAAAAATCTGCAAACGGATGATATGAATTCTCCAAAAAACTTTGATTAATTTTCCTGGACTGCATTGACTCAAGTTCAACAATGAAGGTATGGGGTCCTGAACAGCAAGACACCTTTATAAAAAGCGCATGAGCATCCTCTGAGTACCCCACTATAGCTTCCTTCCTTGCCTTGATCTGATGTGTAAGATCAATGATCTTGTGGAAGACAACAATCTTCTGCAGCAGCCATGTGTGAATACCCTGACTACTGACCTCGCGTTTCCACATTTTCAAGCTCAGATACGAAAATACTGCGACGCCAACACCGCCATCCTCTCCCCTGATGATCCGGCTGTTGATAGAGTTGATGTCCACAGGGGAAGGCCCCTCGGTCACAGCTAGTGTCTGGGTATGCAGATCGAACTCGAGTATGCCATTGTCATGCCCATACAACCACCAATAAAGGACATTGTCGACAAGGGTACAGGGGAAATGGACGTCAATCAGACCGTCGCATGGTTCTGTGGTGAAGACAAGATTGCTCCACATGCCGGTCTCGGAGGAGTAGACCCAGGCTATGGCTGGGTGGTTCTCTCTGGTGCCTACCAGGACCACCTTAAAGGGGCTCGAATGGCAGTCTCCGTGCACGTGGCCCTGGTCGTCGCCGGCGGCGCAGACCACAGCTCCACCAAAGACATACCGTTCCAAATACAGCGGAATTGCCACGCACAGGCGGTCGCCGTTGACGGGGTCGAACACAAGGAGCGCACGACGAAACGTGCTGATGAAGAGGACACGTCCATGGCGGCACCCGAGCAGACCCCAGAAATCGATCTCGTCGCCGGGCCGCAGCGAGAAGCGCTCCCGCGGGATGCGGTCGGGAGCGTCGAGGAGGGAGGTGAACACCAGCTCCCGGCCTTGCTGCCCGAAGACGCCGAGGATGGGGGGCTGCCGGTGGTGGGCGACGAAGCGGCGGTGGAAGGCGGGCGCGGCGGCGAGGCGCTCCCATTGCTTGGCGACGAGGGAGGCGCGGAGGAGCGAGGAGGGCAGCGGGGCGACGCGGAGGAGGATCTCGCCGAGGAGGTTCTCGTCCTCCAGAGGCGGCGCCGACGCCGACGGCGGACCGCGGCGGCGGAGCGCCATCTCGTCGCCGTCCCAGTGGATGTGGGCTAGGGTTAGGGTTTGGTTGAAACGGAAATGGGGAGTGGGGATGCGCAGGAGAAGAAGGAAGGAAGGAAAAGCCCAGTGGACACTTGGGCCGGCCCATTTTACTACGTGCTTGTCCGATCTCCAGCACCAGCCCAGTTCGGAATCGGATCCCATCACGTGCCAACATGTCTCCCTGTACTTACTTAATAAATATCGAACCATATACTTGATCGATCGATCGAAGCATCGCCAAGTTGTCAAGCATCTACCATGGGGGACCTGACGCAGCGGCTGCCTCACGACGTTCTCGCCGACGTCCTCCGCCGCCTGCAGAAGATGTCGGCGTGCAGCCTCGCCGCGTCCCGCTGCGTCTGCAAGGCATGGCGCGCCGTGGTTGACACCCGGCGGCTCCTCGCGGACCTCTTCCCGCACTCACTTACCGGCATTTTCTTCCACCTCAACGGCGAGACGCTCCCGAGGCACTTCTCCGTTGCCGCGCGCCAGCCGCGAACATCGCCCCCTTCGACTACTTGGATACCCGTAACACCCTTGAATACTTAGCCATTAGGCAACACTGCAATGGCCTCCTTCTGCTCGTCGCCGACGATAACGACGATGAACCGGAAGAGGCATGGGTGCTTAACCCAGCCATGCAACAATGGACGCACCTGCCTACTCCTCCGCCCATGTGCACGCCGGGCATGGAGGACATGGATGATTACATGGACTGCCACGACCAATACCTCGTGTTTAATCCTATGGTCTCACCGCACTATGAGGTCTTTTTAGTCAAGTATGTTCCCTTTATTCCGTGGCCTGATAGCGGCCATTTGGTGGACCTTCACATACAAGAGAGGGAATGGCCACCGTCGACCTTTGCCCTGCTTGTCTACTCATCGAAGACAAATCAGTGGGAGGAGAGGCCTTTTGTTCGTGAAGGGGAGGCCTCGGGAACCATAGGCGACATGTTGCAGGTTTACGGATCTGACTATCAGTTTGCGGCATACTGGCATGAATCACTTTACTCAACCAGCATGACTTGTTCATGAATCACTTTACTTCAACCACCTTACTTTTTGACGTTTTGATGTCGCAAGTTATTAGTCTAACGTTGATGGTTGTCTACGTTTTGCAGAATAAACTTGGCAAAGCACAAATACGAACTAGTTTAGCCCCCGGAAGGTTTTCCAAAATATCATATGGGACATTATTTTGGAAAATCCAAGAATGGTGTATATTGTGCACTACTCGATGCCCACGGACTTAGGATTTGGTACCTCGACGAAACAGGTGATCACATAAACTGGATCTTAAAGTGCGATAGCGACGTAACAAATGATCCGATAAATTGGATCTTAAAGTGCGATGAAGATGATAGGAGCAAAGCACTAGCGGGGGAGGATTTGGTTTTTGACAATGATGGTGCCGGTAGTACCAAATATAAACTCTCTGTATTATATAAACATATCAAACGGTTCTACATCGAAAGTTGTGTAGCAACAAAGCAACCATGGCGCAGACGATTGAGACGCCGTCATCCACGGAGGACCTGACGCAGCGGCTACCCGTCGACCTGCTCTCCGACGTGCTGCGCCGCCTCCGGACGACGTCGCCGCCCAGCATTGCCGTGTCCCGGTGCGTCTGCAAAGCGTGGCGTGACGTCGTCGACACCCGCCGGTTGCTCGTGGACCTCCTGCCGCGCTCTCTGAGCGGCATATTCGTCCATCTCAGCGGCGACACGCGTGAACTGCTCACACAATACTTCTCGCCCGCCATGTCATCCACCAGCATCGCGGCCGCATTCGACTACCTGGACGCCGAGTGCTCGACGATCAAGCAGCACTGCAACGGCCTCCTCCTGATCGACAACGAATGGCCACGAGGCCGACGGGCTATCAAGGAGAAGGCGTGGGTGCTTAACCCCGCCACGCGAAGGTGGGAGCGCCTGCCCCCTCCCCCGCCCATGTGCACCCCTGGCATGGAGGACGTCTTCGATTATTACATTGAAAAAGTCATGCACTGCCATAACCAGTACCTCGTGTTTGATCCCGCCGTATCGCCGCACTACGAGGTCTTTTTAGTTAAGCGTGTTCCCTCCCTCCCCTGGCCTAGCCATGAGTATTACATGGAGGCTCATGTGGCAGAAAGAGAATGGCCGCCATCGACGTTCGTCTTGCCTGTCCTCTCGTCGAGGACAAAGCAGTGGGAAGAGAGGCCTTTTATTCGCCAAGGGGAAGCTGCGGCGACCATCGGCTATATGTTTGATGATTTCCAATGCCCACGATGCTATGCTGCATACTGGCGAGGGGCACTCTACGTTCACCAGAATGGTTTCATTCTGAGGTATTTTGTCATGGGTCTCACATCCTAAGCACCGTATCACCTTATTTTGGTTACGATTTGAGGTAACCGTTTGTTGGTGTAACTTTTAGAGTGGTTTGTGTTTTGCAGAATGACCTTGTCAAACGATAAATACCGAGTGATTGAGCTGCCGGGATGTTTTTCTGAAATATATACCACGAAGCAGCATTTAGGAAAATCAGAGAATGGCGTGTACTGTGCTCTACTTGATGGTCATGGTGGCCTCAGACTTCGGATTTGGTACCTCGACGAAACGTGTGATCAGATAAGCTGGAGGTCAAAGTGCGACATCAACCTTGGCCCTCTTCTAGCAGAATTTTTCGGGGGACACAGTGATACTTTCTCAGAACAGTGTGATAACAGAGGTTCCCTACTTGGATTTCATCCCAACGAAGAGACTGTCTTCTTACATACACCTCTCAAAAGAGTAGTGGCTTATCATTTCGAGAGCTCCAAGATGGAAGACTTGGGCTGCTTACCTGTGGAACCTCGAGACCACATATATGTTTCTTTCCCATACACTTTATGTCTGATGGGGGAGTTTTCAAGCAACCAGTAGCTAAACTAAAGTACCATCTTGGACTGATGGCATGTTTAGGCAGTTCATGTTCTTCACGTGTTGATTGGCGACAAGGAGAAACCATAGTGCATTGCTTACGTTTTTATACTTAGTCGTGGTCTATGAAAGAAAAATGTTTAAGCAAACTTTTTATACATTCCTCATTTTGTTATCAGCGCATCACTTTTTCTCCTTTATAATAGAAGACCACAAAAGAGAAAAATATGCAGTTATGTCATTTATATTTGGATTCAACCCAAGTGATATTTTATCTGGGGAGTGTGAATATGGTTTACGTGACTCGCTCAACCAGAATATATGCATTAGCCAAGTGCATGAGCATTCGTACACGCATTAGCATGGATCTTTGAGCACATCGAGAGATCACGAAATGATTGACTCAAACCATTGTAAATGGTGATGTACATTCGGTGAAAATAGGATTCGTGAAAGATAAAATTAAAACTAGAATGTACCGATATAGACTATATATCTCTAACGAGTGAAAACCCATCCGCGAGGAACAACCAACACAGACAGGGCACACCGCAAATTGGCATGTTAGGTCACTACTCCAGTGAGACGATGACAACAAATTGGCATGTTAACCCAAGCACGTCACTGTCCATCTAACCATCCAACCACAGGTTGGTATGTGTACTTTGTTTGTTATGGCTGTTTTATCATAGCATATATATATAGAGCAGAGGATCATGAATACAGTTATGGATAATATGGATAGACGAAGTGAACAAGTGGAGGGTTTAGAAATTGTTATCTGTCATCCTAGCTCCCACGGTAAGTGAGCTTTCTTTTGTGCAAAACTAGTTCGAGGGCTCTTTTGTAAATATAAATAAGCTCACCTAAATGAGAGCTTTTTTGCACTTTTTTTTTTGTTTCTTCTTGGTAACACGGGCACTCAAATACGACCTGTTATTAATTTTTCATGTGTGTTCATCTTGAGCAAAAAAAAAAAAATTCATGCATGTTATTCCTCTTGAATAAATAAATAAAACATAACCGGTGTTCAATCTGTAGGTTACAGACAGTGTCCATAAAGTGAGAGCAGTGCGCTCAAGAATGTTATCTCAAGGTTTCTTTTTTTTTTTGCGGGGGGTTATCTCAAGGTTTCAGTGCAACTGAGAAGCGAGTTAATTAACGCCACTGGTTTAAAGCCACGCAACATAAACACACCAAGCTGTCTTGGAAATCACAAAGTACCAAGCTGATTTTGTCATCAGCGTATTGCTTCTCCTTACAAGAGTATATTACACAAGAGAAGGTATGTACCTATGTCATTTATATTTGGGTTCAACCTTACTGATATTCTTTTTCGGGATGGTGTGGATCTACGTGACTTAGTTGGTTAACCGAGATTTAATAGAATGTATGCACTAGCAAAGGCGCATGAGCGTTCCTACACCTATTAGCGTGGATCTTCGAGCACATCGAAAGATTATGGAAAGGTCGTTTGAAACCTCTAGCAAGGTGAAAAAAGGATTTGTTAAAGATAAATTTGAACGTCAAAACTACTAAAATTCTCCATGTCTTTTTTGTTTGGCAAAACTACTAAAATTTGAATAAATAAATGGAATGTAACTGGTCTTGACTCTGTTGTTTATAATGTCCATATAAAGTTAATCAATGGGCTCAAGAATGTGTTATCACAGAGCAAATTTCACCGGTTTAAAAGTCACACAAGTTGAACAGCACCAAGCTGTCTTGAAAACCACAGAGTAACCATGTCACACAAAGCAGCCTGAGAGTAAACTAGGTTTGCTCCTCACCTACACAGCACCAAGCCGTCTTGGAAAACACGCTCTGCTCTGCTCTGCTCTGCTGGAGCGGCAGAGCATATATATTACAAGCACCCATGGCCGGGCACACTTGCTACTTGGTAGAGGTATAGCACTACATAGCACCATCAGGTCGACGACCCATGAGGAGGCCGGCGGTGGTTGCGGTGGCACTGCTCCTGCTCATCGCATGGCAGCCGGCGCCGGGGAGGACGGCGGCCGCGATGGACGAGCAGGACGAGGATCCACCCGCCCGCAGCCTGCCGCCGCCGGACGAGCAGGACGACGATCCGCCCACACGAAGCATGCCGCCGCCGTCAGACGAGCAGGACGACAATCCGCCTCTGCGAAGCATGCCGCCGCCGCCGTCGGACGAGCAGGAGGACAATCCACCTGTGCGAAGCATGCCGCCACCGCCGCCGTCGGACAAGCAGGAGGATAATCCATCCTGGCCTGGGCTTCCATTGTTGCCGCCGCCGCCCCCGCCGGGCTCCATGCCACTGCCGCCGCCGCCGCCGGCGGCGGAACCAGCAGCGCCGCCGACTCGCCCACGGCGTGCGCGGCTGCCGCCGAGGCAGGATGATCCGCCGGAACCTGAGCCGCCGGAGCTGCCTCGCCATAGGCGGACGCCGAAGGATCCGACGCCGCCACGGACGGTGGTGCCACCGCAGGAACCGGGGTGGGCCGCGGTGCCGCTGCCGATGGCACCAATGCCGGCTCCTGGGAGGCCGATCAACTACAGCACCACCGGCTGGACGACCATGCTGGTGTTCGGGGACTCGACGGTGGACCCCGGGAACAACAACCGGCTGCAGACGGTGATGAGGGCCAACTTCCTGCCGTACGGCGCGGGCTTCCTTGGCGGCAGGCCCACCGGCCGGTTCAGCAACGGCAGGCTCATCACTGACATACTCGGTACAGACGCACTCTTCTTCCCTTGCATCTATTTCGCTGGTAAATTATGCATGCACAAGGTACCACTGGGCTTCTCTTCCAATCAAATGGTGGTGGAGCTCATGTGCAGCTACAGGATTGATGTTTTTGGTCGAAAGGTGAGTGACGCTCACTGTTGGTCAGTATGGTATTTACGGTGCAGTTTTTGGGATGTGCAGCGGAAAGACTAGGTGTAGCGAGGAGCCTTCCAGGTTTCCGCGAGCCAAGGTTGAGGCCAAGGCAGCTCAGAAGGGGTGTGAGTTTTGCATCAGCAGGCTCCGGATACGATGATGCGACCGCCAGGGTATCGGTATGTCAGCAGTATAACCTGCAACGTTTTTTTCGATCAGAGCACAAAGTCAGGCAAATCATATGAATCAAGTCAGGCGAATCTAAAGAAAACATGGTAAAATGCTACCGAAAATAGTTATTAAAATGGGCTAACAAAACAGATGAGGTATAGTTAGTTACTAATCCAAGCTATTCCGTTTATTCAGAGCTGGTATTTGGTGCTAACTAGCTAGCTGTGTTTTCATTTTCTCTCTCCATGGTAGAATACACTATCATTTTCCAATCAAGTCGAGGACCTATGGCGTTACAGAAGAAACCTCCAAAGATTAGTGGGACCAAGAAGAGCTGGTCAACTTCTCAGGAGGGCTACATTCGTCATAAGTGCTGGAACAACCGATCTGTTTAACCACTATCTTGCCACAAACCGTTCAGGAACAGAGAGTTGGCCGCCGTATGAGAACCTACTGATAACACGTGTCGCTAACTATACCCAGGTAAGCACTTGTCAAATGATAGTGTACTATCTTTTGTATGTTAGCTCAGTGCTCTGACTTAACCCTTATCATTTTACTCAGGCAATGAGAGCACTTGGAGGAAGGAGATTTGTATTTGTTGGAGTGCCCCCAGTTGGGTGTTTACCACTTGTTAGAACCTTGCTAGGCACGGGTGCAGAAACATGCCATGAAAACATGAACTCCATGGCAACTTCATTTAACAGAAGGCTAGGCGAAGTGGTGCGCTTTCTGAGGAACCAACGAGATATCAGAGCTACTTTTGTTGATGTTTATCCGATCATAAGCATGGCGACAATAGACCCCAAAAACTTTGGTAAGCTGTGATACATTTTGGTCCCTTTTAAATGAACAGCAGGAAAATAAAGTGTAATGGCAATGTTTTCTTATGAACGCCAGGGTTGACAGAGACATCAAGAGGCTGCTGTGGAACAGGGGTTATTGAAGTTGGGCAAACATGCAGAGGCCGATTAACATGCACAGATCCCAGCAAGTACATGTACTGGGATGCTGTCCACCAAACAGAGAGAATGAACCAAATCATCACTGATTACGTGATTATGAATTCAATTGGAGAAATTTATGCCTAGATCAAGATTGTGAATTCAAACCTACAGCCCACAGAGATTGTATCTAGTATTTTATATTTTATTCTAGTGCATATTCGATTGCAGTTCAATAGAACAGATCAGTCATACCATTTTCTACTATATTCCTTGTTCCATGATTGTGACTGCGAGATGGCACGATTTTTCTTAAGATGGCACAGATATTACATTCGGTAATGGAAGTGCTTGCATAGTCATAACTAAATATGGCCCTGTCTATTTGTTCTTCATCCTCCGCACACTCCCACACCCCCAACCACAAATTAATGGATAATCTCCAGCAATATGGACACCCGTAGCACAAACCGGTCTAGTACTCGTGATCCGCGGAGGAAATAAACCATGCAGTCAGAAATAGAGCTCCGTAAGTAATTGCCTTCCTCTCAGTGATAGCTTAACATTTGCATATGGGTCGGTAGAATCATGCTCAGAACACCTAGGACCTACATAACCTTATGAGGGAGAGTTATTTTTGACACCCAATGGTGGCTGAAGCCGTTACCTAATGATTATGTAGAAGAGGCCAGCAAATAGGACATTTTGGGTAAATATAGTACTGGCCATTATACTATATGTGTGGGAAATAAATTGCAGGACCAAAAAAAAACAGGAGAATAAATGAAATGGTTAAGGTACCTCCGTTAGCATGGATCTTGAACAGGCCTCGCCAAAGCAAAAAAAGATTCTGAATTTACCGACATCAACAACTCAATTGGGACAACCTTAGCAGGACGGGAAATTTTAAGCCTAGGCTCCAGAAAAGCTGACAATATCCATTTGAAAGTATCAGACAGCACAAAATATATAGCGTAAATATAATCATAAATAGTTAGAATAAGTTCTTGGGACAATCCTAATACCTGGAGAAAGCTTCCGCCCCTCATACAGCAGTGCTGCTAGTGGATTTTCGGCCCAATGGTTCACAGCTAGGCGGCTTGTTGGCTGAAAACCTAGCAATTTACCTTCTTCTGACATCACCACCTAAATAGATGAATCAAGTGACACAGTGCAAGTTATAGCATTTGACCAAAGAGAATGAATAACGTATCAATTTATTTTAATAGAGGGAGCTTTAACATTATAATTATAAAAGCAATGTGGAAAAGAATATTAAAAAGAAGCAGTGTGGAAAATAAATATAGGTGCCTTATGAACCAGATCACACATAAAAGTAGGCAAACACTGCACGCACAGCTTATTCAAGAGGTATAAGAGAGTAGTTTACAGTTTTTTTTTGTCATATAACTGAAGTAAAGGATTAAGTCCAATTGCAGCCAAAGTATCAATAAGCATACAATAGCTGAGCAAACAGTAAAAGAAAGTGTAGACCATTGTTTTTAAGGCGTCCCTAAGGCGTCGCTTAGGCGACGCCTAGGCGTCAGGGCGCCCCCAGGCTACAAGGCGTCGGCCTTGCCTTACGTGCATGCCTAAGGCGTCCGCCTTAGTCCATAGGGCGTCCAAGGCGTCCGCCTAGGCGCCATTCTTCCCGCCTTAGGCAAATGAAGACGCCTTAGACAGGGCAGGGAGTTCAGGCGGGAAACAGAGCTCTGGGCGGGAAGAGAAGGGCGGGAAACAGAGTCTGGGCGCCAACAGTTACTAGCAGGGGGAGAGAGAGCCCTAACCAGTTTCAGTTTTCCCCCAACCCCACCTCTGGCGGCTGGATCTGAGCTTCTCCAGCAACTTCTCCCCCTCCTCTCCGGCTGCTTCTCCCCCTCCTCTCCAGCAGATCCGCCTCCCCCTCCTCTCCAGCAGATCCTCCTCCCCCTCCTCTCCAGGACAGCAGGCAGCAGCAAGCAACCATCACCTACCTCTCCTGCAGTTGCCTACCAAATTCTGCTCAATTCTACTACTTAGAACTCTCTAAGGCGTCGCCTTGCCTTGTGCCTTAGCGCTTAGGCAGTGAGGCGCCCCCCCAGCACCTTGCCTCGCCTTACCGCCTTAAAAACATAGGTGTAGACTCTTTCATGTGAGTCAGGACCAAATAACCAACTTGATACATGAAAGACAAGGTATTACACAAGGTTCACTCTAAATCATAATATTATGTAAAATCCACGCATACACTGCTGGAGTAAGATAAGTGTGAAACGGATTTGAAGGATACCAAAACTAAAATATTAAATTGCATTGGCATAATATTTAAGGCGGCAAAACAAATGCATTCTGCTTCAGCACGCGTGACAAAAAATCGAATGGCAAACAACAGATATAAAATTAAGAAATGGAGCGTTATTAATTCATGACTGTATAAGCATATCGATATCAGACTCGAGTTGTAGATACACCATCACAAATAACAAATGTCTTCATCTGCTACAGAGATGTCTTTAATAAATCAGGCAAACTTACCTGAAAGCTAGCAATGTTCTGCAGACTTTCCTGGGTATTATCGTTTTGTTCCAGATGAGAAGTCATCTCGGTGGGAGTTGATACCAATGGGTTCTTATTTTCTTTGATAACAGTACAGGAATACTGAGCATCATCAGAAGCAGCATTATCGCCAAGATTGATGGCCTTGAAGCAGTCAGGCAGTTCTCCAATCCAAGCACCAATATTTTCATCAACCACTATATCCCCAGGGCAACCACATGAATCTTTTATTTTCTTAACAACAGATATGCAATAACCTCGTACCTGCTCAGGGGAAACAAATCAGAAGAGGAAAAATTGCAGAGCACCTGATATACGAAAATGCAGTGTCCACAATTGATACTATCAGTGCTTTCGCAAAAAAGAAGAAGATACTATCAGTGCTTTCGCAAAAAAGAAGAAGATACTATCAGTGGTTCCAGAGCCAGAGACAGAGCACTAAACTCTTGAGAGCTGAATAGTTCTTGGAGGGTAATTATTTGTCATCAGATATGCCATTAATTATGCACAGTAGGTAGGTCTGCTGGACATTCCAAAAGAGTACTGTAGTAGTTGAAATATATAATCTACATGCTACATGATGTTAGCAACAAGAAGAAAACAGAACACTCGTCATGAAGCAAAAGCGGCTTAAGAAATGACTTTTCCATAAATCATCTTTAGCATCTTCCAGAGACTCCATGGTTTTATAGTGAGCAGTTAACAGTTACTATATGCAAGTTGCAACAAATGAACGTCTCCTATTTAGAGTAACACCAAGTATCAAAGTTAGAATCGGTTAGAAAGAAAATAAAAATTAAATCTGAAATACTATGGGGAAATCATGATGAATCAATATCCTGTGAAAGGGCCAACAGCATATCACGCATAAACCCCAGAAAACAGAAGCGGTCACAAAGGAATTCAGGCTAAAAAACAAATTTCTCCACAGAACAAGCATGAACGTCACAAGGAATGAGTATACCTCACTATTATCCAGAGAATGAACATCAGAACAATAGCTCTGTGATGATGAGGTGGGTGAACTGCCCATAAACAACCTTTTGCCTTTAAGAGATTGAGGCCAGCATAACTGAGCAACGACGCCGACAATAAAAATAACAGAACAACCAGCCAAGAAAGAAAAAAGGTTGTTCAAATAACCCTGCACCCAAAGAAGCAATGTTCGAAAAGAGAAAATAATAAATATTTTTACAGGCAAGCTTCGACTGAAATAAAGTAGCAGCATACATTGTTCCTTCTAATCTTGGATGGTTCTGCATTCCAGTGAGAACGGAAAGTTTTTCCAGGAATCGTAAATTGATCCTCAAAATACATGTCAACAACATTCCCTAGTTCCACCTACAGTTGCAGAAAATTAAATAAATAATACTGATCAAAACAACGGTATGTTTACAACAAGGATAGTGAAAGATTAACCATATACCAGTTGGAAGTGGGATATGGGAACTTCCCACCTATTATTTGCTAACTCATGACAGCCCTCAAGCTTCGTATTCTCAAATGCATTGGCATTAATTTGCAGTTTATAAGAAGGAACGAACTCATGGGCCCAAAGGATAAAATCAGGACCCCCGATCTCCGCCAACCTTCCATATTTTGGGGCTGGCCACCATGCATTCTTTGATCTGCCCACTTCATGAGAGGACTTGGTAAGATTAAAACTCTCCAAGCATCTCCTAGCGTTATTTGCAACTTCTGCCTCGGAAATTCTGTGTATACAAACAGTGGAATCAGATGAGCAGTTCAGCTTCTGCGTTTGAAAAAACCCGCCTGTGCCACCGAGGTAACTCTTTTCGGTATCCTCAATGACACATGAGAAAATTGCTTCAGCAAGAGCGGATAGAAGTTTTTCATCCGATGAACTGATGCTAAAATCCACAGGAACCTGGCATGCAACCACAAATTAGTAAGAGCTAAACAAACAAACAAAAAATCAGTATCAAGCCCCAATGTACACCTTCCGTTGTTTGCTCCAGTCCTGGATGTTCCTCCCTGAACCTGGGGAGAAGATTTCTAGCCGATAGTTTGAAAGCTTCTGCATCACAACTTGCTTGAGGGCCATAGCCAAGATACTCTCGGAATCAGGTTCATTTTCAGAGAAAATATCATCACCAAAGTCCTTCTTTATCTCAGCGGCCTTCTCTTTGACTTCCTTGGCTTGCAAAATCTACAAATACAGCAAAACTTCCTCAAGAACAAAATGAAGGGAGACAATCAGACCAAAAGCAACAGTCCTTGCCGTATTTCACATATACAAACAGACTAATAAGCTCCTTCATGGATAAACTACAATTAAACGGGGTAAACAACGATCCGTTCTTAAACCACACATGTCTCGACTGCAGCATAAATGCCTTGTCCACCTGCACTGCCATTGGGAATCCACAGTTGAATCTAGCTTTTCAATGGGTTTCACCTTGTATTGGCTGCATATTTCTGATAATGGAAGTGCGACTAGAATGCTGGTGTATTCGAAGAATGTTTCCTATGGTTGGTGCGGCATGACGGCAGCCTATCCTAATCGAATGACAGGCACTGAAGCACTGCAAAGTAAGGCGCTCACCACTCGAGTGGACGCGGCGCCACCGGCTCCGGGGAGGAAGGCCTCCATGACCATGGCCTCGGAGCCGGCGCCGAGGTGCGCCTCCGCCGCCGCCCCACCGTCGGCCGCCGCCGCGGCCGCGACCGCCTGCTCCCGCCGCGCGGCGCCGGAGACCTCGAGCCGCGCGAGGCCCGCCTCGTAGCACCGCGCAATGGGGATGACGCGCCCGCGGTCCCCCGCCGCGCCCCGGTTTCCCTCGCGGTCACCTCCCCCGCCGGAGCGAGCCGCCGCGGCGGGAAGGGCGAGGCGAGGAGTGGGGGCCAGCGGTGGTAGGGTTCTGAGAAAGGGGGGCGGGTAGCGGGGGGAGGGGGAGGAGGCGGCGAGGCGCGGGCGGAGTGGCGGCAGGTGGAGCGGGAGGAGGAGGGACGGAGATGGCATTCTGTGGGAGGGGCTCGCCGGAGACGAGGGCGCCGGCGACCGGGGAGACTCGCGGTCGGCTGCGGGCGGGCGCGGGCAGGAAGGGGGGAAGCTTTCGGAGGTTTATCGTGTCAGCAATTCGTTTTCTTTTAAATTCACTCACGGTCAAATATTTGTATATTCAAATTAAATAGAGAACATGATATTTTGCAAAATATAATGCGTCTTTTTTAAAAAACTTCCAATTTATTCTTCTTCGATCATGGCAGTACAACAAACATTAAAAAATAATAGAAATTACATCCAGATTCATAAACCACCTAGCAACGACTACCAGAACCGAAGCGAACCGAAGACACGCAGCTGTTATGGCCCCCTCCTCGTCGGAGCCAGGTCCTTGTTGTAGTAAACAGTCGGGAAATTGTCGCCATCGCACCAGAACAACAACCGTCGCCGATGAAGAGTAGCATAGATCCGAAGAATCCAACCTAAAAACACATGAACATAGACGAACGACAAACAGATCCGAACAAATCCACCACGCTGAAGACACATATCCACACACCCATCGACGGTGCTAAACGCACCACCAGAACGTGGGCTAGGCAGGGAGAACCTTATTCCATCTTCAGCCGCCACCGTCTCGTCTTCCTAAGCAGAACACAAACTCTAATAAAAACACAAAAATAACATCTAAAAACGGAGCCCTCCCAGCAGCAAAGGCCGGAAATCACCACACCTCCATGGCCCTAAGAGCAACTCTAGCAGACCCCGTATCCTCCCGGCCCGGCGCGGACGGCCGCAGTTGCAGACTCCGCATAATTGACCCGTAAAAAAGGATATTCCCGGAATATACTTTTTTACGGGCGGCTTTGCGGCGTCTGATCTGGCGCAGCTCCTCCCGGCCCGCAAAACTTAAATTTGCACCTTAATTTGATCTAGCATAATGCAGTTTTTTTTATTTTTCAACAACATTGGATACAAAAGACATCACCAATTCTTTGCTAGAATAGTAAAACCAAAGAAAACAAGAACCACACGTATGCATTTGAGAAGATTTCCAACTTTCATAACTGCTCCCACAAGTTGGATTAGTATCTTCTCAACGCATTCATTGTTGATATGTGGATTCTTGATTTTGCATACTTCTTTCTTCATCTTTGGTTCGAAAGAAGTAGACGTTGCTTTCCCTCTAGTTGCACATGCAGCCGCATCATTGCCTTCGATTGTACTAAGGAGTGCACCAACATCTATTAAGTTTCTTTCTATCAATAAATCAATGTATTGGCCTTCCCAAAACCAACGTGTGCATCCATCGTCCTACACAAAAGAATGAGCAAGTTCGAAATGAGCTACCGCAATTGTACTAATGAATGAGCAATCAAATAAGCTACCGCAAGTGCACGTACCCCATTGTTTTCGCATTTGAAGAACACCCATCCGGGGTGCATCAGCGTGCCCGAAGTTAGCCGCAGCACGGTCCGCGTGCAGTCATCGCACTGTATGAGCGGCATCGGCAAGCCACAGAGACGTTGCCCGAGCGCCGAGCCCGGCGGACGGCCGGACGAATCCATGCCCGCAAACCGTCGGCGACGGCGGACGGACGAACCCGTACCTGCATGCGGCGATGCGCCCTTTGCCGGGGCTGCGGGAGAGGCTTCCCGACCACTCCATCGCTTGGCGCAGCCTCCGGCGGCCGGAAAAGCCAATCCGGCGGCCCGCGATGAAGTGCCACAGATCCGCAAATCCGGCGGCCCGCCGTCGCAGGGGGAGGGAGGAGAGGCCTCGTGCATGTGGCGGCCTTTCGGCGTGCTCCTGTTGGCTGCTTTTGCCGGAATCTTGGGCGGCGGGCCGGCGGCGGCGCGAGGGGGGAGGAGAGGTGGTTGGTGGGGAAAGTGCGGGCGGAAATGTCCCCCCCACCAAATGCTTCTGCTTATATGCAGGGCACCGCAGCGACGAGGGGGAAACCCGCGAATAAGCAGGTTGAGGCCGAGATTTTGCCGCGCCCCTCAAAAAAATTTGTGGGCCAAGACGGGATGCGGGGTCTGATTGGGCTGATTTTTTTGGGGCCAAGGCGGGATGCGGGGTCTGATTGGACCGACCCGCATTTTGGCGGTTATTTTGCGGGTCGGGGCGGGATGCGGGGTCTTCTAGAGTTGCTCTAAGGCCACCAGAGACGAGGCGGACCGGTGACAACACCGGCGAGAGGTGAAGAAAACCTAAGCTTGGAAGATGTGCGTGGGGGGACGGGGGTGTTATATAAAGCGTGTTTTGACCGTACAAATTCAAATTTCAACAAAACGAATACATCGACACTGCTTTGTTTTGAACAAAACTGATCATAGTAGTACTCCATTCTATCCATTTTATTTGTACTAAAGTTGTGACAAGTAATATGAATCGAAGGGGGTAGCAGATTTGTTCGAGAATCACATTTATTTGTTGATTGTGCTTTCACACAATTTTTTTTATCAAAGGTTATTATATTTTGGGACTGCCTAATCTAAAGGATTTTTAATTCGGTTCAAGTCAAAATATAGTCTGCAGTGTGTTGGCATGTGTCATGAGTCGATTCGCAGTGTTGGTGCGACTAGTGTAAATGGGGTGCTCGACTGCTGGAAGTGGTATTGCTCTCCTGCCGGCCGCCACTGTTCGCTGGAGTTAGATGTTGTGTGCTGATTATATGAAGTCCCAGTTCCAAAATGTTGTACGTAAACAAGTCCACTCAACTAACTTTTGTATCCATGAATATAAACAATGTAGTGTTCGTGCGGCGTGGTTGCTGCATATATTTTTAGCAAATGGATACTATTTAAGAAACATAACATGCAAGATAACTTGTAGGCATGGCAAGTAACACTACTAGGGAAAAGCCTAGCAGTATCGCGGGTTCTAGGTATATTAGTAGCACGGGTGATTTTTTTTAAACAATACATTTTTTTATTAATTTGCACAAATATTACGCTCAAAAAATAATTTTCAAAAATAATACACCGTCGGCCTGCAGCAGGCCGAGTGGACCTAGTCGGCCCACAGCAGGCCGACTGAGACCCTATCGGCTAGCTGCTGGCCGATTGGCCTGTCGGTCACCAGTTCAGGTCCAGTCGGCCAGTAGTGGGCCGACAGAGCCTAATTGGCCTGCTGTGGGCCGACAGCGACTAATTGGCCAGCTGCGGGCTGATAGGGACTAATTGGCCTGCTGTGGGCCGACTGGTGCATGCCACCATTTTTTTCCCGAACGCTCCCTGGATTTTTTTTATAAACTATGACGTATTTCGTGCAACCCTTTGCCCGTAATATTTTTCCGAAAAACATATGTTCGCGCCAACTCTTTCCCGCCATATGTTCGCGCCAACTCTTTCCCGCCACCCGTTTCCCGCCATATGTTCGCGCCAGCTCTTTCCCGCCACCCGTTTCCCGCCAATCGTTTCCCGCCATACCGCAGTCGTTCTTTCCCGCCATTTTCTCATCCCTACCTATAAAACCCCCTTCAGACAGAGGAGGATAAGCATTCCAGTGTAGTGTAGTTGAGATGTCCCATTATCCTTTTGATCGTAGTTTTCACCCTGAGATGAGCAGGACTCTTCTGAGGCTAGCTACCGATTTTAGGATGGACAATAGGATAGTTCCATGGGACGAACTCACCGGTAGTGACACCATAATGAATGAGTTGGCTCATGAATTACGTATGTCTGGGTGGCCTGAAAGGACCTATGAGGAGGTACGTATAGAACTTCTTAGGTTGCATGCAAGGTGGAAGAAGGTAGTGGAGCCGGAGAGTGAAACTTTCAGAAGGACTGCAAAAAAGCATCCATTTTTATGGACTGAGGAGAGCGAGGACGAAGATGATATCTTCATGCCGCCGCTTCCGGGTTCTACATCGTCAAAGAGCAAGAGTTTTGCATCGTCCAAGGGCAAGAGTACTGCATTCTCGAAGGGCAAGAGTTCTGCATCGTCCAAGGGTAAGAGTTCTGCATCCTCGAAGGGCAAGAGTTCTGCATCGACGGAGGATGACGATGATGACTTCATGTAGTTTTTATGATGTATGTTGTAAGTTTAGTCGTATGTACCGTTAATTTAGATGTAGTTCTATCTAGTTGTTTATACTGTCTTGTTGTACGAGCATTATGTTCTATCTAAATATGATGTTGTAGTTCGGATAACAGAGTACTAAAATAGAGTAGGCATATGTCTCATACATAAGTACATAGTCATTCGTCTCATACATAGAATATACATAAGTCTCATACATAAGTAGATGGTCATGTCTCTACTGATAGATGGAAGCGTCAGTGACGACGTCTGCCCTGGCGGGGAGGCGGATCTGGAAGCGGCGACCATCCGAACCTGTTAGGTGGCCTATTGTTATGAGGAGGAATTTCAGACTCTCCCTGGTCATGCTGTGTATCCTGTGTGGGGCCTGGTGGAGGAGTCGAATACATGTTCATCCACTGGGTGTGCTGCGACATCTGAGCATGTATGTTCTCCTCGGGATGTTGATCACTCCCCCACGTATCATGTGATGCTGACATAGACGCATGATATCCGTAGTCTCCTGCACGATGGAACGTTCAGTCATGAAGAATGAGGTCGCCTCAATTAATATTGAAAACGATAAAAATGAAGACACTTACCTGCTGGTTGTGACGACTGCTCTGGCTCAAACACGAAGCTCGACGAGGGACCGTGTTGCTGTGGCTGTGGAGAAAACACGAAGCTCGACGAGGGACCGTGTTGCTGTGGCTGTGGAGAAAACACGAAGCTCGACGTGGGACCATTTTGCTGTGGTTGCTGCCACGTTGAACTGCCAGGTTGGTCAGGATGGGGTGGCCTGGTTGTCGGCTGATGTGCTAGACGTGGACGTGGTTGATGTCGGTGCATGGAGTGACGCAGCTGCTGCTGCTGGTGCTGAACAATGTCGGTTCTCCGGGTGCACGTGATAGCCTCGTACACAGTCTGTATCTTGTTCTGAATTTGTTCCAAGAAGAGATGTAGCATTGGACGGTGCTGAAGAAGAGGTC